TGCTTTGCTGGCATGAGCTATCATCAAAAAGGTCTCGATCTTGGACCCAAAGACCAGAAGCCACGAGGCTAGATTTTGTTTGAGTCTTGACACTGCCCGGGCATGGATGGGCGCATGGTATTATGGGCCAGTGCCGTGGGCGAGGAGGGGGGACTATTTTATATGGGGTGGTCTGAGACCTGAGTCGCGAGAAGGAGCCAATTGCATGAAGATCCTAGGGGACCACTAGCACTCAGTTTCGAGGAACAGTGAGACCAGGGAGCCTGAAATGCAGTGGGTGACGGGGGAGAGGGGACCTCCATCCTCTCTGTCTGTGCCGCCCACTTAGGGTCTCGGCCATCTGGTATGCTCTGGTACTTAATAGATTTAATCTCATCTTTCCGTCTATCGATCCATCCATTCCTCTATTCCACAAACACATATTACACCAGACGGTGGGCGACACTGAGTCTTAAAGGAGCTGATCACCGAGCAGAAGGGGGAAGACCCAGGATCTAGGAAGAGAAAACCACATGAGCCAAGGCCTAGAAAGAAAAAACTCACCGCTCGTGCGCATGGGACCTGCTGGGAAGGGCTTTGAGTACCTGGCCGCCATCCCTGTGGCTGCTCCGCTACGTTGGGAGAATGGAGTATTACCTGCGAAACACCAGGAAATGCTGATACATGAAAAAACAGTTAATGAAATTCATGATTTCAGGGTGAATCTGATAGTCTGATACTGTATTCTAATACAGCCAAGTGGTAGCGGGGACCAAAAGGCTTCAGAAAAAGGCTTAAGGAAAAGGGAGGGGAGAAACACGTAAAATGGAGACTATTCCATCAATTATCTTATTTTTTTTCTGCCAACCAAGGAAAGACCATCATTAGTTACTGTTAGTCATGGCCCAGCGTGGAGAGCACCTGCTTTCTGCCGAGTGCTGCAGGTGTAGGCCAGAGGGAGCTGTTTCGGGGCCTCGGTCAGGCAGTGACATGATGAGATTTGCACTTGGGAAAGGTCACTGTGGCTGCAGGGTGGAGGGTGCATGCAGGGGAAGAGAGGGTGGCTGGTAGGGGGCCGCTGGAGAAACACACATGATGAGAACCAGTACCTCAGGCAGAGGTAGTAGAGACGAGTGGGTCTGGGCACAGCCACCGCTAGATCTTTAGAAATGCCCACTGAATTGAATTATCTGGGGGAAAAAAAAAAGCCTAATGGAGTCTGGATGACACACAACTGCTGCCTCTCTCTGCAGTCTCCTGCTTGGGAGAGGCATCCGGGCTGAAGACAGAGCTGGGGAGTTGTCTGCGGTTGGAAGTACTCAAGGTTTTGAGGGAGATTTTTGGGGAGATAGAACACGAAGCTCCTGTTTCCTAAATCTGGCCAGAATCTGCCCATGATGTCAGATTTGTGCAAATGAGACATTTCTTAAGCTCGGGGGCTTTTGCTGCTCATCTCGGGAAATGAACGACTGTCTTTCGATAGGCGCTGGAAAGGCCAAAGTTCAAAGCGGTCCGGTGACGGCTGTTTAAACCTCTTTTCTACAGGAGAGCACACCGTAGACACGTCTAGGTTCCCAGGCCACAGAACAAGAATCTCGAAAATGCGCTTGGAGAGGCCCGGTTCCCATCACCGTGCTCTACTCTCTGGAGGACGTGAGCTCTGTGTCAGCAAAGACGGCGGCTGCAATAAATCACGTTGCCCATTTCTGGAGCACTTACTACGTGCCGGGCCCCAGGGAGGGCTTCCGGAGCCCTATCTCATCTAAACTTCCTCACCCAAGGGGGCGAGTCTCACACCGCTGACCCATCCTGTCGAACCGCTAACCCCGTCAGCACTCGAAATATTCTTCCGTGCCTGCCATCGGCCTCCTTCGTCAGGGAAGTGCATGTTTATGGTCCCTTTCTGCACTGATTAAGATGACAAGAAGACAATGAAACACTTGTCTCCAAAAGTGACTCCTTGGATCCACTGGCAAAATGTTAGAAAGTGGGTACGGAGCCCAAGAAACAGGACACCCAGGCTCTGAGCTTGGGGAGTATTACAGAATCTTATCCCAGGCCAAGAATGAGTCACAATGAAAGCTTTTAAAATATAAAACCATCAACCTAGATTTCAATTCCAAGGAAACACATACTTGGCCATGAGGGAATGCTTAAAAAAAAAAAAAAAAAAAATCAGGCTTAAGCCACTTGACAGGAAAATAAAACAGCCAAGGAACATTCAAATATAATGATTTACATCCTCCCCCCTCCCGTCACCTCCCTTCCAATATGGGTCAGGGCGGACACAGCAGGATCTCTGCCAGTGTGCACGTCCTGTCGGGCCTCCCTGCTTTTCACGTAACGCCATTTCACGCACACAATCCCGAGCCGGGTTTGAGCTGCACGGCGCTATGCCAATCTCATGGATTCTTCATCATTTCCCTGTGCTGGGGCTCTCGGTTTGCCTGGGGTGGCTGTGTTGGGAATATGAGGATTTTTCTTCCATTATTTATGTGTGTAAGCACTGTTCGTTTCTCTCAAAGAAATGGAAGCTTGACTGATTTCCTAAACGTAGGAAGGAGATTGCCCCACGATGAATATTTAAGACTGACCGGGATGGGTGACCACCATCTGCTAAAACACCAGCCCAAGGATTACTTTCCCAGGGAAGGGAAAGAATGAAGAACCATCCTATATAACATTTGCTCAGCACCGGAGAGTTTATTAAAGGTTTTTCACTTATATCATTTGATCTTCACAATAGCGCCAGAGAGGTAGACAGGGCGCGGATTACAAGGATTATTAAAAACCCACATTTTTTCTTTCTCAACAGATAAGAGCTATAAAAGCTTACAGTCACTTGAGGGAGGTGGCAGAGCTTGGGGACTAAATTGCCCATCTCTAATTCATTCATACACATATTTTAAAACCATTTATCCAGAGCCTATTCCAAGCCAGAGGAAATGGCAGTGGGTACACAGATGAATAAAACACGGTCTGGGCGTAGGAGGAAGATCACGTTCCAGCCTGGGGGAGAGAGCCGGCAGAAGTAAACAAGGCCCTGCTTTTCAAGGTGATGAACACTCACGAGAAAGAACAGAGTGCGACCACATTTCTAATCTGATGTTCTTGCGAAGACCAGCTCTGTTGTTATTTACAATATCTGTCCTCTGAAAGAAAGGGGGAGTAGGGGGCCTTAGCTGTGTCACTGTGGGGATTAGACGCGGTATGCGGCAGATTGCTCTCCCTCCTTCGGCTAACTGTGCCTGTTTCTCGGGGTGCTGAGCTAATCGGGGGGGTCCACACACAGGCTCCCCAAATTTCCCTCCACGAGCTAACTCGGGGTCTCTGCCTTTAGAGCAGCATCTTCATCCCGCCGCAGCCTCCACTCGGGGAAGCGGGCTGCTCACCGTCTGCAGCTTACACGCCGCGACGAGACGCGCTGCGAGGTTTTGTGTCGCCGGGGCCGGGTCCAGGCCCGGGAACGCGCGAGCGAGCGCCCTCCCTCGCCCACCGCCCCGGCCCTGGAAGCCGCAGCCCCCTCCTCGAAATGTTCGCGCCCATCCCCACCCCGCCGGCTCCCTGGCGCTCCCATTTCTGGTTTTCATTTTATCCATTTTTATGTATTCCCCAACGATATCTTTTAACATTTGTTGCACGCCTGACACAGAGAAACACTTTCCTTTAGAAAAGATAGTGTGCGTGTGCGTGTGTGTGTGCGCGCGCGTGTGCGTGTGTGTCGGGCCGCCCGCGATTCGGTGG